TTGCATCTGGTAAGTCGTTTATGAAGACTATGAACATTACCGGTGCAAGAACCGAAATCTGTGGTACTCCAATCGTGGCATTTCTCCAGTAAGATACATTGCCTCTGATTACTGCTCTCATTTTTCTGTCAGTTAGAACATTTTTCATCCATGTTAGAAGCGTACCTGTCACTCCTCTAATATGTTCCAGTTTCCAGAACAACCTCTTATGTGGAACTGCGTCGAAAGCCTTTTTTAGGTCCGGATAGATGCAATCAACCCTACCTTCTCTTTCCTGTAAAATATGTGGCTCGACCATAGAAACCGAGTCAATTCGCTACACAGGATCTTCCAGATCCCAAACCATACTGTCCGTCGGTTATTTTTAGGTTTTCTCCAGTTGTTCTACCCATTTAGTTTTAATTATTTGTTTTCCAATATTTTGACAATATTATACTTGTCAATTATACAGATCTAAAATTGAGGGGGTCTTCCCTGCAGCCACTTTTGTAGACTAGAACCATGTTAGCCTTTTTCCACTCATCTACTTCGACTCCTGTAAACAGGGATGCCTGAATAATCAGTTGAAGTGGAATGCTGAGCTCAGGTGCACATTCTCTCAGAACCCATGGTGAAACTCCATCTGGGCCAACTGCTTTGTTCTTACTTAGCTCCTTGAGCATTTTTTCCATTGCATCTCTAGACACCTCTATGTTGTTCTCCGGAATTCTAATTGTGTCTGGTTCTCTGAAGATTTCATTTTGTGCAAACACACTTTGGAACTTTTTGTTTAATGTTTTACACATTTCTTTCATTTTCTGTGAATCTGTTTCCCATTTTCAACCTCTGAATATTATCCTTTACATGCAATTTGCTGTTGATGAATTTATAAAATAGACCTGGTTCTGTTTCATATTTGTCCACTTTCTCAAAATTTCTTTCTGCCTCTCTAACTGCTGTATGGTTGTTTCTCACATCTTTGTATCGATGGTATGTTTGGGGGTTTGTCTTCTTCCTATACCGATTCCATTTTTGTGTCTTTTGGTCTCTGGCCCTCTCGCAATGTCTGTTGAACCAATCCTGTTTCCTAGTTCTACATCTCTGTTTTGGTATAATTTTTTTGTGCCTTTATCATATATTTCACAAAACTTGACACACATCTCATTTACTTCCTTGCCTAACAACAAGTCTTTCCAGTCAAATTCCTAAAAGAAAATTCTAAGTTCCTCATAATGTCCTCTTCTGAAATCAGGATTTTCAACTGCTGCAACTTCCTCATTTTCTTCCAGATTATAATGCATTACATACTTTATTCCCAAAAAGACATGGTCACTTTTACCCAAAGGAAGAAGGTACTGAATATCAAATATCTCTTTCTCTTTCCTGGTGAAGATCAAATTCAGCATGGAGGGAACATCCCCTTCCTTCATCCTTGTAGCTTGTTTAACATGTTGATACATGAATGTTTCCAGGATGAGGTTTACGAATCTACAGGTCCAAAAATCCTCTGTTCTAGCTTCATATGCTTCCCAGTCTATGGATTTCAAGTTGAAGTTAACGACTACCAACAGTAATGATCAATCTCTATCCACTCTCGCTATAATCTCTCATTATTGTTATAAGACCCCCTCGTTCATTATCCAGCTCCTCCCTTGTGTTGCATGGCAGTGGATTATGTGCATTTATGATTATTAGTTTGTCCTGATTGCAGATCTCCAATGCTATTACGTCAACTTCTCGTAGACTGGAAATCATTATTTTGTTTACCTTTAGGTGATCTTTCATCAGCACAGCAATGCCATTGCCTCTACTAATTTTTCTGTCCCATCTCCAATTGAGTAGCCCCTTGGGAATACGACCTCATTTAAAATATCATCTTCAAGTTTCACCACCGTGAGTGCAACAATGTCTGGCATCTGCAGCTGTATTACATCACTTAACTCCAGTATCTTTGATCTTACTCCACCTTTGTTGGTGTATACAATTTTCAGGAACATGTTCCCTCTCTCCTTGCTCTTTACTTCCCCTTTCTCTAGTGATTTTGTTGGTTTGCATTTCTGTACCATTTTACTGGCTTGCCTATCCCTATAATCTTGTAGAAAAATAATTGATTTCTTCTTTGTTACTGTTCTCATTTAGGTATTTTGCCTGTACGAGGTTCAGTTTCAGCTTCTCTTGTCTTCTTTTGAAAGATCTCATCTTAATGTCCATAATTTCCCATCCTCATCACTTTGTAATTTTCTAACATTCCTTAGTAGTACTTCCATCTATTTAGCACCATTTAGCGTGATCCTCAAGGGTAGATCTTTCCCTTTCGCACCTGCCAATTCTCCTGCAGGTGCATTCATTCTCTTTGGTTGTAAGACCTTCCACTTGCCCAGCACTTTTATCAACTGCTTTTGCTTCTTCTCCTGCTCTTTCTTACCTAGATGTTATCTCCTTTTCTTTGCAATCAAAAATTAATTGGGACTTGCTCCAATCGATTGTGTTTTGCACCAATTTCGGTTTTGATGCCAGTTTCTTTCTGACTTCCAGCCTAATGTTTGTTTTATCCTGGTTGCTGCAGTGTTTGGCTTCCTTTACTGCTTCTACTATTTTTTCCTTCTCCTTGGCTACTTGTGCATAAGTGAGTTGCATATCCTTCTTGCACTGTTCTATTCCTTGTGTAACTTCCTTCATCTGTACTACCAAAAGCTATTTTTCCTGTTGGATTTCCTTACCCAACCTATTGTAGTCATTTATGTTTAAATTTGCTTTAACTTCTTCAAAGGTTTTATTTTTAAGACTTTATTTTCTGCCTGCATGGCTTTGCTTTTAGCTTCACATTGATTCCATTCTTTGCATTCTTTCTTTCATGTCTTTCACTATTGCTTCAAGATCTGATACTTTGCTACTCAAGTGGGCATTACTTTCTCTCAATTTACTGATTATTTCTACATGATAGTTCACAATAATGTCTAATTTTACTAACTTCTTGTGTACACTACTAATATTAATGCTGGTGGCCATCTTGAATTACATTATCTGAACTGTTTACAGTATGGCAACCTTTTCTCCTCCAATTATTTCACTGCACTGTATGACAGTGCAAGACTTGAAATGTTTCCCATCACACCAGAACCTGGAATATTGTCCAGCCTAACTCCATGATTCTCACTCACACTTAGACAGTGACCTCTTGTCATATGGAGCAACAAAGTGGGATAGCTCAGAAAATGTCTGAACTATTATCATAATTTGAATTCATCTAAATACTGAATGATTCTAGCTGCTCACTGTGCCTTGTGGATTATTTATATTGCCAAGTAATTTCACTCCTTAAAATGCAAGAAAATGTTTTGTTTTTTAATTACATATTTTGTCATTTTCCTCTCGAGATTCAATTTTCACCTTCAGCCAAAGATGTCCAATCTCTTCCTGACCAACACATCTGCAGTGACTAATTTCTATGAATTGATTTTTTTTCCTGATAATACACTTTTGTGGCTGTGGTATGCACCTTGTGGTACATTGTCCACAAGGTGGACATCTAAAACATCTAAACAAGTCTTAACACTTTCGCGCTCTCAGCGCTCAAAAAAAAACAGTACCCCAGATGCTTTCGGCACTTCGTGCGCCTACGCGGTAAGACCGAAAAAGTGTACACTCTTTTGACTGTCCTGACAATAATTGAAGGCGCACGTATTTAAATTTGGTATCACTGTGTTCGCAATGAAATTGTCTATAAGAGCATACCTATAAAATGCCGCCCAAGCATAAGGAGTATCAATACCAAATAAACTATGCAGATCACTCGCCGAGAGCGCCAAACAGCAACAAAATGTTTCCACTCTCTTAATGGTTGCGAAGCCTACAGTTGTCCTACATCGCTAATTTTGGTATCATTGGAATCGCAATAAAATTCTCTACACGGACATATGCATATGAATGTTTAATATAGGTAATTGCCCACCCGCAAGAGTGTGTGAAGTGGAGAGTAGTTAGCCGCGAGCGCACTGGCGAAAACACAGGGGGGAAATCATGCTTGGAAAGTTTATACATTTATACGTTTCCTGACCCTACTTTTCTATGTACGTATTTCTATTTTATACTAATGTGTTCGCAATAAAATTTTCTATAAGATGAAATGTATAACATTTGTACAAAGCATGTGTAAGAGAAACGCCAAATATAGAACCACGTCGCTCAGTATGCATTCGCGGCAGAAACGAACGCATTGTTTTCGTTCGTTTGATGTTTGTCATGTTTATACTTGTTGAAACATTTTATAATTTGTATGACAGTGATCGCAGTAAAATTCCCTACACAGACATATACATAACACATACAAATATTTCCCACGTGTTGGATATATCAACGGCTAAAGGGAACCCACTGCCACACGCCCGCCACACCCAGAGCCACACCCCCAAACATACTTTGTGTTTTTTTTTTTTTACTCATAGAAGTTTGTGATATAATATTCATTCTGGTACCAAAAAATTCGCAAATAAATTCTCTACAAAACGTATATAATCTGAGAGTATCCCCATCCATTTCGGTTAAAAAATGGAATTTATAGAAATATTTTTTTGATGGACTACAAAAGTAGGCTGTTATGCGGAATCGTAAGAAAAAACGGCGACGAGTTATCTCTAATCTAAAGCGCGAAAGTGTTAACATTGTCCAATAAGAGGCATGTGTACATGCAACACTTGCTTTATACAAACACTCAAGCTGTAAAACTACTTACACATCAACATTATTAAACACTATTATCAACTTACTATTCAATTTCATAAAAGTTAATTTGTTTCAAGAATTATACTGTATAATGCTGGAAGCTTCACCATAATTACTAATGTGAATCTTATAATGATCATAATTAAAGCATACGTAGATATATACAAGATCAACTATGGATATTCTTTGTAAATACTGTACTGTACAGCTTAATATATATAAAAGAAAAATAGCAATTACTACCAGCTTGTAAGTTTGGAACTACTGAACCGCTGATAACGAATAATTTACCAAAATACCTTTTGTTTGCTTTGTTGCTGCTTACAAAACTTAACGGCCCTGCGGGTGAACTCTATCCTTGCCTCCAATGGCACAGGCTGAACTCCTGCATCACACAGCACAAGCTGCTTCACAAACTTCACAATGTCAGCAGGGTTCATTTTCTGCATATACTCTCCACATGACTCATATCTGGAGAATGACAATACTGTATTAAAATAAATTTCCTGATATTGAGATATAAACTATTATATATTTATCCTTTCAATATTCTCAATTCCCAATGACCGAGTTTAGTGCCTATTTCATAAACTTAGTTGCCAACCCACATGGAATAAACTATTTCTGGTTGACATCATACAAAACAACAACTATATAATAGCAAATTGTTTAAAAGACTTGCTATAATGCACACATGACACTAATGACCCAAAACCATTGATAATATGTACCAATTATATGCAAGACAAACACTGTTATTTGAATCATCACAACAAACAGTCAAGACTTTAAACTTTATACTATACAGGTAGTTTGTTTTTACATGCATGCAGTGTTATGATCTATATAGTTTATAAAATTATTATACCTGTGAATCCAGTCACTTGAAGTCTTGCTTTTTTTATCAGCTGCACTTTCAAAAAACATTTTGTGAGCCCAAGCACAATAAACAGTGCTGGGTTCAATGCCAGTTCCTTCCTTGCATGGAACATTCTTGGCAACCTTAGCAAGATTATTCACATTTTCGGCAGTTAGAACTGGACCAAGAATAGCCAAAACATCTGAATTTGGCTTTAAAAGTAATTTATAATTTAAACCCTCTGCTGAACCTTTCAGCTTTTTAAGGAGCTTAATGTGAGATGGGGCCACCTTACTTTCTGGTTCCATGCCACCACACTGTTCTATCAGCGAGTAGTACAGGATTAGGCGTTCATGATCACAACCATTCACTGTAAGAAAGACATTCTGCTCCATGCGTGATACAAACTCCTCAGGCTTATTGCCAAGAGTCTGGATCAAATCCTTTTCGTTGATATGTTTCTTAAGTTCTGCCGTATTAATCTCAGAATCAAACAGGTGCTGCAAGTGAGTCATGTACACCTGCCACAGTGACACTTCATACTTCTTGGCTAAGGTGAGAGCTAAATCCAAAACCTCATTGTCCAGTGTCATAGCTAGGCCAAGAACAGTGTCTTCTTTATAACTTGAATCTGATAAAAATCTGTCAATATTTACACCAGCACCCAGTCGCTGAAGTGCCTGACCCTGCACATAGTCTGCTACCAGCTCCTGAGTGCTCTTGAATAATTCAATAAACTGCTTTAGCTCTGCATCAAGTCTTGATAAATTTAAGGAGTCAATAATGCAAGAAACATGAAAAATAACTTCTGTAGGGTCATGTAGGAACACTGGTGCAATACTAGGGTGAGCCCATGGATGAAGGCTTGTATAAATTTGTAGAGCATAATAATACTGGGTCATCTGAAAAGAAAGAAAAAATTGAAATCATAGCACTGTGCATGACTGCATAGATTTAATCAATTTAACATAATACTTATGCTTGCATTTACATCTGGTGCCTTCAACCTATAGCTTGGTGGCAGCATGTAAAATTACTACCCTATGTTTCAATGACTGCAATTAAGTATGGAAGACTCAAATGCCTTGTACACTTTTTGAAAAATTTTGCATAGCAGTCTTTAGGTTATATAAGAGTAATAGTGGTTGTATTTAGAATTGTAAATGTAAAGATGAAAGCAGCTTCTGTAAGAACAGTAAGCTTGCAAATTTGCTTTTGGGCCCCGACCCCTGAGGTGTATAGTATAAACATCCGATATATACTGTTCTGTATAATGCAACAAGGATCATAAGAACACTGATACTGATCCAAGTAAGCAGGGAAAACCACGTTTGAAAAATTAGAGAATGCTGAAAGCGTTTTCAGCTGCTGGCCGTCCTCAGAGCAAACTAAGAGAGTGCACTTCTATCGTAGTCTGAGGACAGCCACCAGCTGAAAAGACGTTCAGCATTTTCAAATTTTTGAAATGTGGTTTTCCCACATACTGTATAATATTTACTGTAAAGTATCAGTGTTACCTTCTATATCACTTCAAATTTTCTATGTATTCCCCAAATAATTTGTTGCCTCTAATATTTGCCTGAAATACTATTTATGTTAGTGGCTTTTATAACATACCACTTACATCAAATATTTTTATAAAATGCTCTGTTCTTTCTTGTAAATATTTACGGAAAATAAAATAAATGGACTATTTACAGAATGTTCTCTTTGTGTATCCTGATTTTTGGATATAGTAGTTTCATATAAATTAGGTGCCACGAATTGGTTTAAAATTTAAGTTAAAATAAAGTACGTGATTCTGACCTGTAATGAGACATCAGTACGTGGAAGACTAGCTAACACAGCCCTGGCATCCTCAGGTTGGTGCAACATCAACATAAAGCACAACCCAAGAGACAAGTCTTCTCGCAGTACTCCTCGGGCAACTTCTGCCACTACTGTTACAATGGCAAATTCTGGCTTATTAGAATACAAATGATAATTAGGAAATAACAATAAAACATGCTCCTACTTGGAGTTGTACATATTAAAGAACAGATAAAGCTGGCAAGCTTAATTACTTAGTTAAGATATCTGTTTATTTCATATGCAAAGATAATGCACTCAATTAACACTGTATTAGAAGAAATCTTGGTGAACAGAGTACAGAACAATATTTCTTGCATGTCAAACAAATTTTTAATGTAATGTGGTCATACCTGTTTTATTCGTCTTAATGGTGTTGCCTTGGGTGAGGGTCTCTTCAATCAGAGCAATACGCAGTAGGGCTAAGGAGAACTCGAGGGCAGGATTGGAAATGGAGGGCAATGCATAACTCTTGTAGCTTGCACCTAACAAGAATGAATGTTGCATTATGTATCACTCGAGAAAATGCTATCATCTACAATATTTACACAAATGTTTAGATTTATATATGTTAACTTGCATCTCACAGTATTAACCCCTCAACTGCGCCAGTCAACAAATGACGTTTTGAGAGTTGTCCGTTTTTTTTTAATTAGGCTATATTTTAATGTTTTCATAACACTTTGTGTTTTGAAATGAAAATAGTTTAGTTTGGAAACATTTTTGCATTAGCACTTCCTGAATATTTATAAAAACAACAAAAATATGTCCTTAACAATTGTACAGTACTTTGAAGTTTTTGCCAATAACAGGTGCGCAGTGCAGGGGTTTACCCCCTGCACTGCGCCATTATTACCCAAAAAATGCACTAATTCATAAATCTTAAGAAGTGCCCAAAACTGTGCACATAATTAGTGGCTCAATGAAACTCTAATCTGATCTCTTTTTTTTATAAATAATAAAATATTATTATTATAATATTATTATTGCACAAGGAAATCACATTAGGAGCCGTTATGATGATTTGAACCTATGCTCTGGGTACTCCCAAGTAAATGCCTTAGACGACTAGGCCACGACAAGGTAAAAGGATTGCAACCTGGGATTCTACTGAATCCACGTGGGTCCCCTGAGGCTTCCACTGAAGCCGAGCCAGTGTAACCAAAATCATATTAATATGATTTCTCTGTGCATTGAATGAGGAAGCATTAGAGGTAGAATTCCTAGATGACAAAGTCAAAGTGCATGGAGGGGGGGGGGGAGGGGAAACTCTGGTTAGGCTTCAGTGAAAGTCTCAGGAACCCTTGTGGATTCAGTGGAATCCATGGTAGCAATCGTCTTACCTTGTCATGGTCTAGTCGTCTAAGGCGTTTGCTTAGGAGTACCCAGAGCATAGGTTCAAATCATCACCACGGCTCCTACTGATTTTGTCATTGATACATCATGTTAATGTGATTTGTCTGTGCAATATTATTATTATTAATATTTACATAACAAAATCAACACTAACATGATATATCAATGAGAATATTAACTGGAGTAATCAGGTGTCTTGAACCAGCAATCAAGGCACTCCCAGCCACACACCTTACCCCTGTACCATGATGTGGTATATAATATAATCATTATTATTATTTGGGAATCATGTATAACAGCGCTGTGGGTGAAACAAAAATTCAAACATCACAAAAATTGTGAAATTACTGTATTTTCTTATATGCTTTGCTGCAGCCCATCCTCCTGTTAGTACTTACAGTAACAGTGTGGACTATTTTACATATATATATATATATGTAATGGACAATTAGAAAGTATAATTTGGTACTGTTGAATTTGGACAAACCAGACAAGGTTTTGCTTTTATGTTGCTAATAAAAGCTAATCAAACCTACCCATCCTAGGCCTAGTTATCTTGAGATGATTTCAGGGCTTAGTGTCTCCGTGGCCCGGTCCTAGACCAGGCCTCCACCCCCAGGAAGCAGCCCGTGACAGCTGACTAACTCCCAGGTACCTATTTACTGCTAGGTAACAGGAGCATCAGGGTGAAAGAAACTCTGCCCATTGTTTCTTGCCGGCGCCCGGGATCACGCGTCCAGTGTTCTGTCCGCTCAGCCACCGGGTCCCGGTGTACATGCTGAGTCTCGGTACATGCTGAGTATGTATACATATAGTACATACATACATACATATACGTACATTAGTTTTAATTATTCTGGACTCTTATAAAGTGAACACTACCAAATTCTACTATATAATTGTCCATTGCATCAATACATGTGCCATTGTCCACACAGTCACAAAAAGTGCTATCTAAACAGGAGGATGGGTTGGATCACTGCACAGTGTAAAGAGGCAACAACTCCCTCCACTGTCAAGGACCTGACTTTTTGCTCACTTGAGGGTTATCAATAATATATATTAAAATTGTGCTGCAGCAGAAATTTCAGCTTTTGTACCTTTCAACATGCTCAGGGCCAAAATAAAGTAATGCACATAATCTTATTACTTCAACATTTTAAATTTGTGGTGAAATGTATCATTTTTGACCTAAATGAGAAGTTTCAACAGAGTTGTGCTAGTTGACCACCTAGCTCCTGAACTATATCATGACCTGTACTTGTATAGCATGCCACAATGAACAGTGTGACAGTATTCATGGACAATTTGTAAATGTAAGTTAATAAAACGAGATGAATTTATTTGCCTGCGTAGAAAATGTGTTTATACTGTAGCAATTAACATAAAACTGTAGCAATTGGCAAGCCTATATATAACTGCAGTATCAGTATCTGTATATCTCCCCATTCCAGTTACTAAATTTTAATTGAAGAAGGCTGTAGAGAGACTTATGGTAACTTATTATGAAATATAAAAGAAAAAATACAGAAAGCCCTCAATTTCTACAAAGGAGTAAATTTCTACAAGGGATAACTTTGGAAATACAGTATCATTAACACAAATAGAATGATGTTATATTCAATAAATAGGATGTGCTCCCAAAATCTATTTACAGCTCTGGTAGCAAGTGCAGTGTGTCTTGGAACCACTCCACAGTAGTGAACAAATGGGGACTTTGGAGGCTACCACCTCGATAATAGATCTACATGAACAGTATTACTAAGCTAGCCCGCCACTTCACAGCCACACATATGTGCTGCATAAAGTTGATGAATAGTTTCATCAGAAATGAAGATGATAGGAATCACTGACTTATTTCTTCCAGCTTCAGGGAGTTGCTATTATGTTTGGGATGTGCCATAATGAAAAGTATAATCCCAGAAGTGTATAACACACAAAAGGCCCTGCACCTTTTGCCAGGACCAAAATCTGGTTCACACTATGAGGTGAGGAGAGAAATGTTTTTAAAATCTGCACTTCACTCAAATTCACATCAGATCCAGAATGACATGTTCTCAATTTTGAAGGTGCTACTGTACCAAAGAGGGCTGAAAGGCAGCCAAGGACCCTCTATTGGAAAACCCCCATTGCCCTGTGACCTTTTCCTGCTGCAGAGTGGGAGCCTACATCCCCTTCAGAGCCCAGAGCCTCAACATTGTGGAGAGACTAGGTGGCAGCCAGAGAAGCTCAATCCAGACAAGCTAAATCTCAAGACACATTGCAATAATATAAAGGAATCAATGCTGTGACAGTAGGCCCCTGACCCATCATCATATCTCCAGAGAGGGCAAGCCTTGACAGTCCAGCATCAGTCATTGTGAGCGGGGCTACAACAAATTTTGGCACAAATTTGGTGTGTGAAATAAGAGGTTCATAAATTTCCACGTAAAAAACCAGCATTGAAAGTAATGAAACGCCATTTTCTAGGTCAAGCCCTGGAGGCTACCTGCTGCTATCAGACTGATATGAGTCATATTAGTCAAGAGCATCAGTTACTGGAGTCCTTATGCCTACCTGAAACCATGAGCTAGAACCTGGTTCCCTCAGAGATTCAAAGGAAGCTATAGCTTATGAACACTCCACTTTATGAGAGTATAGTCATGTCTGTTATCAACCAACCCGACTTGATATCACCCAGAAAGATAGGCGAATCATTACAAGCCCCAACTGGTAAAACATTGCACCCAAGACTGAACAGAGGCCAAGAACTCCCACCAAAAGCTCCCAAATGCCCACTCACTCACCGTGCCCGCTTGTCCGCTTGTTAACGATCTCCCTCTTTGGGAGGGGGGAGGGGGCACCACCCAGGCAATCCAAGCCCTCACACTGGCACTTCGAAGATTGATAACAAACCACCGACCAGAGGGAGGGAGGGAGGGAGGGTGGCAGGGAGCTTCCGGGGATCAACCCAGAAAATGGCATTTCATTATGTGCAACACTTTTTTTGGGGGAGGAGCCCCATTGGCTCCCTGCAGCTATATACCCGACATAAGTAAAAAAGGGACTTACCCAGGAGGTGGCAGCAACACATGCCTAAAGACGAAGACAGACAACAGCCTGTAATCGACGGCCTAAGGCCACACGAGACCGCTGAGGGCTCCAGAACGTTCACAGGATAACGGGCACCCGGGACCCTGTTCGACCTCTAAAACCCCCGTGCCTGAATGTCACTCTTAGACATGTTACCAAAAACTGCAGCAAGAGCTGCAAATTTCCGCACATCACGGGCACAAGGAAAGACTGCAGGCTGGCTTTACTTGATAACCCTGCAGATGACCTGAGAGACCCCAAGCCCTGAAACAGGGAACGAGGGACACCGGATCTACTCAAAGCATGTTCCCGAACACAGAACCCAAGGCGCGCAGATAACGGTGGAGAGCTGCAACCAGACACAAAACATGATGTACCCCTGGCAAGACCAACCAAACATCAATACCCCACGGACCCCTTCGGAATGAGACTGGCGCCCCCAGTCTCATTCTTCGCCAGAAAAGACAACAGCAGCAAACAAACAAAACGACCCCAGGACCAAAGAAGCAGAAACCCTTGTGCTGAAGGAGAGCATGAAGCTACCAAACCTGACCCCCAGAGGCCAAGCCAACAAAAACAAAGCCTAACCAAAGCAATCCTGAACCGAGGAGGGACACAACAAATGGAGGAGAATAGAGAAAAAGAGAGCACCCAAACCAAAGACCAGGATGGATCGGGCAGCGCATGAGCAGGCTGGAGGTGAAAAATGCACGAGAGAGCTTGCAAAAAAGAGCAGAAGTGACATCCACCCCGAACGCAAGCTAAAGCACCTCTGCCAGCACTGGACGATAAGAAGCAACAATATTCAGCATAAGATCCAGATCCTGAAAAAGCCAAGAGAGAAAGAATAAAACAACACGATCCAAAATGGACAACAACCTACAAAGGGAAAGGAAATGGGGACAAGAATGCCAAGAGAATTCATACTGTTGCTAAGAGGAAGACCACAGTTGGGACACCAAGAGAGAAGCCACCTGATCACCATACAAATGGTGATACACTCGCATCAAAAACACGAAACGTGAAGAGCGGAAGAGTAGGGCAAACCAGCTAGGTA